AGAAGGAAAGAAGGAAAGAAAGAAAGAAAGAAGTAAAGAAGGAAAGAAAGAAAGAAGGAGAGAAAGAAAGAAACAAAGGAAGGAAGGAAGGAAGGAAGGAAGGAAGGAAGGAAGGAAGGAATTTGGATAAATCCTGCCCATACACCTTCTTTATTCTTTGTTTCTTTTTAAAGTTCAGCTTCTCAGTTAAAGTAATATAAGCCCGTCTCAAGGGACACAGCCTGCAAGCACCTCATCCAAATCTCTGAGCAATTGCTCCATTTTTAACAATTAATGAATTTGTTTATTTATTCCAGTTTTTAGCATCTAACAGTCTCTTGTGGCAGGTAAAAATTAGAAAAAAGGCATCCAGCACTCTGATCCTCTCTGTTTTAGGGCAGAATTCCTTCCGAGAGCCGGCTTGGGCACTTAAGATGCTTCTTACTTGGGAAGTGAAATGGGGCCACCTAAAAATAAGGGAGCCATTTCTGCCTGCCTTCCTGGATAGCAAAAGAACGTTCGTTTGCAGCTGAAAAGGAATACAAAATAAAATCCGGCCAATGGCCCACAAAGCAGTGTGAAATCTGAGGAAACAGAGAACCAGGAAAAAAACTTTTAAATTTTTCTTCTTCTATGAGAGTGAAATAAGCAAAGCCTTTTATCTCTGCTCCACTTATAAGACTGGGATATTCCGGATATTTGTCCACAAATACCTTTGCACTGCTCAAGCGTGGCATGTTTGTTTCCCCTGACAGTGGTGCCGAATCCCTTGCATGACTTGGTCAGCACCTGACCATTCTGGAGGTATTGCCTGATGCATTCAAGTCTGGGCCACCTGTCCTGGAGAGCTGTGGATTTTGGATTATGTTGTTCCAGGCCACCAACCCTTCTCAGCTTTGGAGACAGGTTGAATGATTTAGGCCAAGCACATGGTCCTGTACAGGTCCCCAACACTGGGCAGCCTCGGCCCCTTTCTCCTCCTTCCTTGGTGTTCCCTGGTGTGCCAGGTAGCCTTCCACCTGGGCACTATCCAGAACTGGCCTGGCCTGGCTTACAGCATCAGACGAGACCAGGTATGCTCCAGGTGGGTGCTGGCATATCAGACTATCATGGGCCTCCAGATCTGAAGCATGCAAGAGATCCAGTCCTGCCTCTCTGTGGCTATGCCCCCAGATGGATTGCTTGGTGGGGGCTCAGCTTTTCGGCTCCCCCATGAACCCACTCCCCACCCACAACCAAGCCATTCAAGAGGCATGACTTCTCCTCAGGAAGAGAGCTCAGGGAGGAGGCCCACCTGAGGAGGGCTGTGGAGCCAGAGCACTCCGAAAGTCTGAAGGCAAGAGCCCTGCAGGTAAATCTCTCCCGCAGAGGATACGCCTCAGTTACAGTAGTTTCGCCTTTATGTGCTGCAGTTCTCCGCTCACTTTCATCTTCCCACTTTCCCTGGCAAGTGTTTGAACATACCTCAGGAACTGGAAGGTGCTGTAAAGGTTCTGGCGCCCGCTGGAGTGGAGCAGGAAGCCAGCCAAGGCACCGGGAGGTTTCATCCCATTTGGAAACTATAAGGCTCCCTTTTAGCCAAGGAAGGGGCGAGCCCAACGGAACATGTGCTAAACATCATGTCGGGAAGCTTAGCGCATTAGGAGGAACAGCGTCCTAGCTACGGACAAATGGAAAAAGTTTGCAATTCGTTACAGGGAATTGCGGAGGTAAGGAAAAAAATGCCTTCTTTGATTCCAGCTTTTTGAACCCACTTTGACGAGGCAGGTAGAATCCATGCCTTCAGTGCAGATTTTCAGCTACAAAGGGGCTGGCATGGAACAAATCAGCCCCACAGGCCTGGAGCACCAGAGGAGAGTTTTTCTGCATTTGGAAGCTCACTTCAGAGGAACCCTGGATGGGACAGAGCGGCGCGGAAAGAGAGCAGACGCAGCGCAGGGCGGCTGGAGTCTTTGCTGCAACCACTGCGCTGCTGTTTGAATGAAGAAGTGCGGATGCCTGCCCTGGGTGCCTTCTCCAGCTGGATCCCACATCTTCCTATGAGACTCCACCACCCTGCAGGCAGAAAGATGGCCTTGCAGCATTTCAGAAGGGCTGCTACATTGAAGAAGGCGGCGATTCTGAACATGGCGCCTAGAGAAGTTGTGGTGCCTGCAAGATCCCTCTCTCACGGCTGCTCCTTCTCCTTGTAATTCTAAACAAGGAACCAGCTACCCCAAGGCCTACACACACACACACATTTTGGCAGGAATGTGGCAAGTCTAGGCAAGAAGGCTCAGCCTAGCAAAGAGGAAAATTTGGAAAACTGCAGAGAACAGGGCATGTTCCGAATGTTCTTCCCTTCCCTATGGTGGAGCCTTAAATCCTTCTTCCATTGGGTTCATCCCCTTGCAGGAGACTCACTCGTTTCCTTCCTAATCAAGTTCCTGCCCCAGTTTCAGTGCTCTGTTAGTTCTGGCTTGGCACCCTGCGTCGAGTTGCACCCCACCAGCTAGAGTACAAGTGGCAAAGCAAGCATGGAGAAGTAATTGCTTTGTTCCACTTCTCTGGCCCGAGAGGAGGTAGAACAACCTTTAATGGAATTCAGTGAGGCAAGTACCAAGAATAAATCCGTGCTATGTTAGCAGGATGCCAACAGATCGACTTCTGTGTTTCCTTGGGAATAAGGAACGGCTCAAGGGGCTGACAACCAGGCTTGCCTCTGCAACCTGTACAGCTGTTCTCTCTCTGCCACAATCCGACCTGTGAGGTGCTCCGAGAAGTCAGTCCCAGGACCTCCGATTCAAGCAGGAGACGTTCTGTCAAAAGGGAAAAGGCCCCCCACATCGAGGCATGGGGGTCCTTGTAGAGGAGGTGGTGCTGCCGCCCGCTGCCATCTTGAGGGTTTTCTGGAGATCCCATGAAGGGCAGGGGTGGTGAAAGCAGCCAGCAGGTGCAGAACCCTGGACAGCTCCCAGTAAACCTGGCCTTTGCGCTGGTGTTGACCAGAGCCACTCTGAGGCCTCAGCTTCCCATGGCTCAGGATTCGGTCCCTACCTCCCTTCCCTCCAAGCAGGACAAGGAAGACGTTCCCGGCCCATTGCCTGGTGGTTCTTCACCTCTTGAGGAGTCCCTACTGGGCCAGCCACTGGTGCCGGCGTACCAGCCCCCTGAATCATGGATCTCCTGGAAGCAGGCAGCCTGTCCTTGTGCTCGAGTCAGGCCCTGGGGTGTCACGCTTGTTGTGGTCATGGAGGACTCAGGTTCAGAAAGGCGAGGCTGCAACAGACGGGGACCCACGTATCTGGCCGGCTGGGGGATTCTCGACACCTGCCTTCTCACCCTCTGCATATCCCGCAGCTCCTGGATGCCCGGAACATGACCGATGTCCCTGAGTTGAAGCAGGGAAGGCCTAATGGAGGGAGACCAAGGGCTAAAGTAGAAAGTCCCAAGAGTTCAGAAGGAGAAGGAGGAAAGGCCCTTCCCACCCCACCTCCCACCATGAGACATCCATACCGCCATTACTTTTAACCCCGTACGGCTCCGTCCACCCTCTCCGGTTCCCCTTTCTATCTTCCCTTTCTATTAGTTTATTTGCCTTTTTCCAGCTGTGAAACTGAACCTCACCAGAGATGACCCGGCAGGAGGGCTTGAGCGGAGGGCAGCACCATCGATGGCTTTAATAAAAACAGAGAGTGTTTGCTGTTGATGAATTGCTGGGTGAGCCATTAAATGTAAGGGAACAAGGTGGGGAAAAAACCTGACGGGAGGAAATGTGGTCTCACTTACAGGACACATGCATAGCTGCCTCCTTAGTTACATCCATATGTGTTGATATGGAGCCTTAAAAGGCCCCGGACAGAAAACCAGGACAGACCTGGAGGGGCAGACTTGAAGATTTGGGGTGTATATTAAGAGGTATTTCTGTCCACATTGGCATCCTGGATCGGTTGTGCGAAAGACACTGTGGGCCCTCTGTTTCTGTCAGGAAAAACGATGTAAGCAAGACCCAAAAACACATTCACTTCCTGACTTGTTGGGTTATAATTGCACCGTGGAAGGCATGCAAGCTTTCCTATTTATGCATTGTCTAGGAAGTGCTGAAGGCTCCGGCGGCGCTCCCTGGCCTGCCTGAATAAAAGGTTGCCAGCAAATTCATCATCTCTCACTCTGCAAACCAACCAAGGAAATATGGGGCAGTCTATTTTTATCCCGGCAAACTGAAAGGCTGGAGTGTCTAATTCAGTGCTAAAAATACGGCTGAATAGATAATGCAGGATAGAGAGGGAAAGTCTTCGGCTCCCTGGTGTTGGCTTCACACCAAACCACCCTCGAACCTCACGGCAGCCGGGAAAGCATATTCCTAGAGAAGGGACAGTGTAGGGTTGCAGTTATTTATTTATTTATTTATTTATTTATTGGACTTATATACCGCCCCATAGCGCTACAAGCACTACAAGTTACCTCTTCTTGGGCTCAACCAGGCACTGCGGGGTGTTCCAGTCTGCATTCCATGGTGTGTGTGTGTGTGTGTGTGTGTGTCAATAGCTGCATCACAAGTCCCTTTTAGTGTGTGTGTGTGTGTGTGTGTGTCAATGGCTGCACCTCAAGTCCCTAGAACTGGGGACTGGCAGGACTTACTCTGTGAAACAAACCATCCCCTGTAGGTCCAGCCATGGAATTTGTCTCCGATGACCCGGATGCCATCTGCAATAGGCTGGCAAAAGGACAGCAGACCTCCGTACGGGATTCGGAAAGCAGAAGGTCTCCCATTGGAAGAGCCAGCACTGAAGGACTTTAGACTTCTCTCTCTCCCTGGATACCTGGTTGAGCAGGGCAGCCTCGTGAGTTTTCAACAGGCACCCTGGGACCGGAAAACTTTAAAAGACATTCTCTCTTTTTTCTTTTTTAATTGCCAATTAAAATTCCCATTGTCCCCAGAGGGATCTACCGTCCCATTTTGGAATTATGTGCCAAGGCCACACACTTGGTGTTTCTAGCAGCATGGAGAGCAAGACAGAAAAGTTTTTGTTTTTGTTTGTTTGTTTGTTTTTAAAGTTAGCCCTTTGATCGCCCTTAGGACATTGTCTTTCATTTATCTCTTTTATTTATTGTGTGTCATATGTCAGCCGCTTTTCTTCCTGTGAGGGGACCCAAAGTAGCTCACCATGTTAAAACAAGCAGTACTGAAAGCATGATAAATCACAGATTAAAAAGCCATTAAACTGTGATAATAATCAAAAACCCACCAAGTAATTTAAAACATTTAAAACTTTCAAAACAAGCTTAGAAAAGCTAAAAATACCAGCATCCAGGCGGGTCTTTCTCCCATTCAGGGTGCCTGCAATGGCAATGTTGGCAAACAGCAATTTTTTAAAATGCACATTATTATTTTTTTTAAATCTTGGTTGTTTTGCAACTGCATTTTAAGGTGGAAACAGAATAAAAAAGATTTAGGAATTTAGGATATGTATAACAAAGGCACAAAAGTAAAATGAACTAGGAACAGTCCATACCTACCTCAACCTCTTGATGTATCTGGCTTCTCCTGAAACCCTGTTGTATCAGCATATGCCTAGGTCTTAGCCTATCTTTACTTTTTGTTTTTTAAAAGCTTTTGAGTCCAAGGCCAATAAAGCATTCCCAAGTTATTTGGTGCTGGCCCGCTTCTGTCTGCAGCTTTGTTCCTCAGGAAATCAAGGCACTTCAATTGCCCAGGAATGTCAAAACCCGAGATCCCTCTGGAATGATATGCCTTGAAGAGGCCTTATCACTAGCATCATCATGGTCAAATTTCCTGCCATCTTTTCAAGAGGTGCATCTCCAGGAGAAGGATTAGCAAAAAACTGCTTTGCAAGCCGGTGTGGGATTTTGAGCTTCCTCTCTGGCACTCATTTACTCAAGTTTTAATTGCAGATTAAACAGAGTAGCTGTACTGCCTGGTCATCTCCGTTTTCCCTAGAATCTGTTCATGCCACCCACTGCCCGTTTCCCCCATTGATTGCTCAAGATTTCTGGCTTTCAATTCTCGTTTCAAAACTTAAGCCTCTAGTCCCTGTAGATGTCAGGACATCAGGTAAAAACATACAGTCAGGATTCTGCTCACCCTATTATTTTTCCCTCAAGAAACAAGCCTGCTACTGCTTCCCAGTGTGCTTAATCCATGAGCGAAGTCTCGGGGCTAGGATGGATATTTTTCAAGTTCCCAGGATTTTAAACCTGGAGAATTGCCTGTTCTCTCCTGACCCTCTGGTAAACATTGCATATTTGTTCTAGTGAAGGGTTTGCTCTGCAGATCAGCTTGCCAAAATTATATAGAAAGCAACGGGAACGTAGCCATGAAAGCCCGTGAGGTAACAAAACATAACCGACACAAAGCAAGGCAGGATGGTCAGTGCCATAAAAAATGATTCGGGTTAAATCCACCTGTTATTCCCACCACAGAAGACCCGCTGGATGAAATGCACTTGGTAATTCAAGGCTAACATGAATCTTATTGATTTGCCCAGTTTCCTGCAGCTGCAACAAACAATTTTAGCCCTTCGGATCTCTGCTATCATGGTCTCTGTTTGTTTTGCTACCAGAAACTTAACACAAGGAGATTATGAGAAAGTTACTTTCCCCGCCCCCCCAGAGGTACAGTATAAAAATCTCCCCTTCTAAAAGTAAAACTTAGACTTTTTTCTTCCCATGGGAGAAGATCACCAGAGTTCTCTGCCTTTGTGGGCGCTTGTGTGTGCATGCTCTGGACTGACTCAAGTATAATCATTCAAGATTGCGCACAAAGCCCAATTAATAAATGGGAGTAAGTAAAGGCCTCTTGCAAGCAGTGCTGTCCCCCTTATTGAAAAAAAGGGGGATGTTATGAGGCTGCATATCCCCTGTGATGCGTGGAACCAACAATGGGGGGCTGGAACTGGGGCACATCACCCTGCCTACGCAGTGGGCTCGTGTCCCTCTGTGCCTTTCCTTGCACCCCAAGACGAAGAAAGAGAACCGGTTCCCACTGTCAGAGCATTTCCTTAATTTGCCTTGGCAGGAAGGGAATCAAGGAGAGAGCCTTGGCTGTTGGCTTGCTCCGGTTTCGCGTTCCCTCAGGACAGCCTCCTTCGCCAAAGCCCACATTTATCACATGCTTCTCTCCATAATTCTGCATCCTTCCAAGGAATTTCTAACTTGGCCGCTCCTTCTGGGGAAGACAATAGCTTAAATGGAAAACACATGCTCTGGAAATTCTTCGGCTGCTTCCCGGGGTCTCTCCCATCTTCTTTCAATCTCTTCCCCACATCCTGTCAGCCTCTCCCTCCTTCCATTCCTCCTTTCCTTGCGACCTTCCCTCCAATTATCTCACAGCTTTGCCCCAAAGCTGAGTCGGCTCACATGCCGATGCAGACGGGCTTTCTACATGGTTACCCATGTTTATATTACTCATTCGTTCGCGCAGCGCTTTGGAGGGTTGTTAGAGTTTTAAGATACTCAGATGGCTGAAGAGGCTCAGCCTGACAGAGGCAAAAAACGATATAGAGATGATTACAGAAGGTTGCGAGAGTCAGCCGGAGGAGCAGGGGGGGGAGGGAAAAGCAGGCTTTATCTTCCGAATCCGATGGAAAGAATGAGACCTTCTGGTAAGACCTAGTAAGTTGCCCAGTTTGGAGAATTAATGCCCCTGTAATTACCACTGCATTCTCTGTTGGAACAAAAAGGAGGGCGATAAGAGGGGAATAAATGGGGATGTGACTTGGATCACACTTGCCATCCTGGAAAGGTACCCCAAAACTCGTACTTGGGTGTCTCAACTCCGTGGCCTGATCTCAAAGCACTCAGAACCTGCAGGCAGCATCCTTAATGGGAAGGGCAGCCCCACCCTGGTCAGGCTGACCAAGAGAGGCCTCTCTGGTCAGCTGGACCACTCCCTGGCCCCATCCCTGACGCCTCCATCCATGCCGAGACTGAATTTCAGTTCACTAGACTCAGGAACAAAGAAGAAGAGACCTCACCCCCCCCCCATTGACTCCAGGAACCCAAGAAACTGTCCACTCCCCTACCTAGGCTGGACGAAAAGGCAAAAGAGCTGTATGTCCTCCATACAAACTGCTGACGTTTTGTGCAGATGCTCGACAGCAGGGGTTCGCCTGTCCTGCGGGGCATTCCGTGTCACCGAGCAGAACAAAAAACGCACCAGCACCATCTTCTGGCGCCTCCTCCATCAGGTAAGGAAAGGACCCCAGGCCGCCGGGTGGAGAGGAACATCCCGGACACCTTGAAGGCCAGGCCGTTCCTTCCCGAGAGCTGTCGCCTCTCAGTTTTCACCCCATATGGATTTATTTTTATTTATTTAAAATATTTATATGCCAAATGTCCTAAAGGATCCAAGGCAGCTTGCAGTATTAAAAGAAAGGGAGTCAAAAACCAATAATCAATTATTGCAATCTTTAAAAAAGCAGCAGACAAATATCATATTAAAATTCATGATAAGCGCAAGATTAAACACACAAGGAAAACATGGAATAGCTTTGTACGCAGCTTCTGAACCAGAGAAACATTGGGAGCTAAAAGGTAGCTTTTCAGTTGTGTGTGTGTGTATGGGGGGGGGGCGGCCATCAGACTCCCACTCCCTCCCCCCAATCCTGAGGCCGTTCAAGCCTCTTTCCCTTCGTCTCTCTTTGTGTGGCCAAAGTGTTTAGGAAGAAAAAGCAGGCTGGCAGTCTGCTGAAGGTTTCGTGAGATGTCAGAAGCATGTCGTTGAAACCCTAAAAGCCCTTATTAAGATAAGGAAGCAGGCAGGCGGCTGATGCGAAGAGGAACAAGACAGTGTCTCTTCCCTAGTGTCTCATGCCTCTTTTTTTTTTTCCTTTCAAGCAGACGGATTCCAAAACTGACTTGTGAAGCGCAAGGATCATGCATGTTGCTCAGAAGATGATTAACTCAGGATGGGAACAGGATGGCATTAAAAAAAACACAATAAATTCCAGTTAGATTCCTTTAAAATTAGTTTGGTCTGATAAGGAGAGAAGTTTTGCTGCCCGTGGAAATTCCAGAATTTTTCTCTTCTATGGGAAAGCAGCATTTCCAGTAGGGCAGACCTAGAAGGAGGGAGTCCATTAACCCACGGCCAGCAGCCAGGTGGAGGCAGGAGACGTTTCTTACCTGCGGTCGAGAGGACTCCCAGGGAGGCAGGGGTTCCAGATGGAGCACCTGAAGACCTCGCAGGTGGGGGACCATCTCCTGGGAAGACTCCTGGACTCTTGAGTCAGGAATACTGGAGTCTTTAAAGAGCCCAGCATTTCCTTCCTCGCAAGTCCTCTACTTGGGACTTAAATCCTCTTCTAGCAGCCCGGTGGCCCTTTTTGTTGCTGAGCGAAACAAAGACTCCTGGCTTTGTGGAGGGATCCGTCCCACAGAATTGAGTGTTCCTCGCTTTCCTGACCAGTGAGATGCTGGTGAACAGCAGCGTTGTGGCCGAACCCTGTTTCTTTTTAGCGAACGGGAATGCTGGGCTTTGTGATACTTGCTTATTGAGCCATCGGTACCTAACGGAAACCAGAAAGTCTTGTAGGCAGACGTTACGACTTCCCATCCTGCCTAAGGATAAACATGGAGAGGAATTACACCAGGAGCACCTCGCTTTTCAAGCTTCCCACTTCCAAGTTTAGAAACAGCTAATTAAAGTTTCTTCTGTTTTTTTTTTTTTAAAGAAAACCTCTGAGGGCTAAGTGCTACCAATGGGGATTCCATGCCAAAGGCTGGAGAGAGATGTCAAGCTATCACAGGCAGGCCTTGATCATGAAAGACCAAGAAGTTCAATCAGTAAAACACTTGGGCCACTCGTAATTAGGCCATTCGCAGGGCTTGATTTAAGCAGGGCACAGCAGGCCAATGGCGCAAGAATCTGGGACATTCTCTGTGTGTGTGTGTGTGTTTGTCATACATGCACAACCCCAAACCCCGCATTGGACATGGCAGGAAAGAAGGACTTCTTAATGTGCTTCTTAATATGCTTTTAAAGAAACCAGTCCAGCAAAGAAGGAGAACACTGAACATTTGCAAGCAAAGCTCAGAGGAAAATGGAGGAAGACGGCCGAATGGCTCTCCCTAGCAAAAAATAAAGTGAAATCAAATTAAAAAAAAATAAAATCAAAAGCACCCTGTGGGGTTGCCTATGGTGTGTTGGCAGAAGCAAAGATGCTCGGCTTCCATGAGGGACAGCTGAGAACCCACCAATTATGAACCGAGCTACCTTTGAAATAAGCTCCTTTTCACCACCTCATCGCCTCTTTCAGTAAGGTCTGTTCCTGGCAATCTCGCGCTAACCAGGCTTTTCTCATCCCGAGAAACTGTGAAATGTCTCTCCTGTCCTGCAGTAATGCATTCTGACACCCCAGAGCCGGTGGAAGCAACTTTGCGAGGCACAGCCGAGCCGCCAGTGACGCAAAAGGCGTGGGAGCAGCCCCAGCGCCGGAGGATTGGAACCAGCCTCCATCTGGTTGCGATACCGACTCAGCAATCTTGCAAAAGAGCTTTCATGTTTAAAAATTAAGCCTTTTGTTTTTGAAATATTTAAGGTGGCCCTCCAGCTAAACCACCTGAAGCTGCCTTTGTACATGATCTTAACAAGGAAAGCAGAGTTCCAGGCAGAGGAAGAAGGGGAAATGGCTTTTCTCTAGACCTGCCCAAGGCACCTCAAGTGGCCGACCAGTATCCATTCTAGTCCATAATCTAGACCTGCCCAAGGCACCTCAAGTGGCTGACCAGTGTCCATTCTAGTCCATAACACGTGCGTGTGTGTGGGGGGGGAGAAAGGCCCATTTGCCCCACACGTGCTTCACATCTGAGAATTTGCACCCTAGTGCCATGGAGAGATATGGCCTCCATCCCATACGTGTGTGCGTGTGTGTGTGTGTGTGGGGGGGAAGGCCCATTTGCCCCGCACGTGCTTCACATCTGAGAATTTGAACCCTAGTGCCATGGATAGATATGGCCTCCATCCCATACAAGAGACCTTTTACAGCAAACCACATAAAGAGGTCGTTGTATTTTGGATTGCTTTGTTTGAGACCTCACAGGGGGCAAAGTGATGGCATAAATATTACTCCTGGCCAGCCCCAAACACACTCAATGACTAGAGACAGTGTGGACATGTCCATACAGGACGAACCTCGTCTGAGACCTTCACACATCAACCACATCCCCACGGCTAAAAGCCACATGTAGACAAGAGGGACCTGGGACCCGATCTCCACCCCTGGGGATCACGACCTTGACTGGTGCCTGCTGGTTTGGGCCCATGAACACCTTGGCTTTCCCACCTCACCCTCTGTTGTTTGCCCCACTGAAGTTCTCTGGGAGGGAAATGCCTGGCACTAATGACCTTCCGCAGAAGCTTTCGAACTTCTTTGTCAAGCAAAATAATCCAATGAGATGGACAGAAGGCCTGGATGAACAGAGGATGCCATGGCAGCAGGAAGGTGAACCCTGACATGTTTCATCTTCAGGTGCTAAACACAACAATTTCACGCATTCTGCAGGCTGACTTTTGCACATTTCGGTCCATGTGCAGCAAAACGGTACTAACTATTGCCTTGTTTAGGCAACTATTGCCTGTATGAACTATTTAGAACTGTATTAACTATCGCCTTGTTTCACAAACAAATGAAGTAATAGCCTCAGAGGGGATGTTTTGTGTCAGTGTGATAAATTGCCTGTCCTCTTCCGCTTGCTGTGTGCATGCATGTGTGGCCTTGGGTATGTGAACACTTGACTCAGTCTATCTTGCCGGAAATGGAGACAGGGGCCAAGTTGCTCCAGAGCATGACTTTCCTACGTACTGAATTGGTAGAGAATCCATCAGGGGCCGTTTTCCATTACGGGAACCTGTGCAGTCCTTATTGGTCTTCTCAAGAAGAAGCCACTGGTGGCTACATCATTAGAACTGCATACATGTTGTGCAGTCCATCTGGGTAAGGCTCGGAAACCACAACTCTGCGTGGGATGTCAGATGCCCTGACACCCCCCTGAAAGTGGGAGGGAAAAGGGTGGAATCCGGAGCGTAAAGAAAAGCAGCCCATGCCAGACATGTTGTCTACACCCAGGGAGAGAGACTCAAAATTCACATCAGATCATCGTACATTGCTCATGCTTTCTTACTAGCTCTTTGTTCACTGCTTAGAAAGAAAATCCGAAAGGGAGCACTACGGAGAAGCACTGCCAAGAAAAGGACAGCACACAGAAAAACTCAGAAGAGGCTCCGGAAACAACAACAAGGAGCACATTTCTTGAGCACAAGTTAAATGTATGCCTTACATGTTTTCTTATCAAAACAAAGTTATCTGTGCTTTAAGTATTCGAGCAATGAGCCTTTCTTGAGGACAGAGATGCCAGTTGTAACACCAAAAGGTACTTTTCTTCCCCCTAGATTTTGCCAGCTGAGAACGATGGAAAAAATGAGATGTGCAGTGGAAAGAGAAACCTATCCAAACATGGCAGTAATGGAAAGGAAGGCGTGTATCTAGGCTGAGAAACTGCCTTTGGACCTCAGCATTATCACACAGAAACAGAAGAGCCACATATTAAGAAAGAAAAGGCTCAGAAAATAAACATCCCTGTAATGTAATTAAGCAGCAGCAATAAAGTTTGATATTTCATTGCATTTTATATTGCCCGTCAAGAGTTCAGAGCTGGCAGGTTTTTCCAGCTCACCGTCCCGCACAGCAATGGCCTTTGATTGGGCTGTGAGACCCTACAGAGCAATTTCTGTGCCTCTTGACATACCGTTTGCAATTTGGAGATTAAAACATAAGTGCCCAGAATGGGTGCTATACATGAGGTTGCACCGTGCCTGGCTTCACCAGGCTCTAAACCACCTCCCACCTCCACCCCTCCTTCATCCTGGACTTCCCAGTGGCCCTTCCGTCCTTGCCCAAGCCAACAAAAGGCTGTCAAATTTGACATCAGAAGAAGAAGAAAAATCGCTGCCACCCACCATGCTCTCCAAACTTTGAAAGCCCTGACAGCAGCTTACTGATCTTCGAGCCCAGTGCATTTTGCTGGGTGGTGGCTGTTTTTAAATCCACACCGTGTGAACTTTCCCGCTTTTCGCCACCCAGCGAAACAGACTGAAGGCTCCTTTAGCTTGTGTCTGAGATGCCATTGTTTGCTTAGCTTGGACATTCTGTTCCCCGAGGTCTCCCTATCATGAGTGGGTTCGTTCGTC